TGGCCATCTTTCATAACTTTATTTATGAAAGATGGCCAGGGAGCAGAAAGTTTTTGGTGAGCTAATAAAATATCTTGATGATAATTCCTGATCTTGACTTCATGAATCAGCCATTCCTTGTCCAATGTGGTGCTTTCAAAGTGAGCAACAGGAAGTACAAATACATCAGCCAACAAAAGTTCAACTCGCAACACCAGCACTTGCAGCGTGTCGCATGCAGTTTTTCAGGACACCTCTCATGTCAGTTTCAAATCCAAAATATTTTCTCACCACGTCTCCTCGTTACCCCAGAACACATGAACTTGGTAGCTAACAAATACATTGACCGCTGCTCAGTCCCTCCCATCTCCTGAAAAATGATCTCCGTCATATTGCCAACACCGGCCTTCGCTCACAGCTGGTCAACCACTAGTGGCTACAGTAGTCCGGTAATAGACATAATATCACATTGATCATGTTGTCAAATTGTTAATTATTAATGCAATGCATGTTGGATTTAGCGCCATGATGCTGTCAGAACAGGTTGCCATTTAATGCTACTTTATAACTTGCCGGAACTGTTATAGCAACTAATGTCAGATAAGCCCGTTTGTATAAAATCAAAACGGTTTACGCTTGTGCGCCGGACCAGAGCAGCAACACTAGAAACTGGACCAACTGTACTGAGCACATGGACCCCAAATACAAATGTTGGCTGGGTACTGTTATTACGTAACATAAAATGTTGAAATATCACATACATCCAATGATACAACTTCATGTCACTAAAAACCTCCCAACTTTAACCAGCAAGACAAAAAAAAAAAAAAACCTCCTTTGAGGTGTACGTTAAGTGTAGCCTTCTTTTTTCAGACACTTACGACAATGTTTAAGACATTTATTCTGATATACTCTGAACGTTAATGACTTAACTGACCAGAGTAAATTAATATCATTGATGTCAGGTTTGAAGTTCTAAATCAGTGATACTCAACTTACGGCCCACAGGCCAAATTCGGCCCCCGATAGGATGCCAGGTGACACTCCCAACCATTTTCTAAACTACATGAAAATAAACTAATTAAATCACAGTGGAAATTGTTTATGTACTTTTAGTTAAGTGTCAGAGTGCATAAAAAAACCCATCAAAATAGAGCTTGTTTATCAAAGCAATGCCAGTGGAGGATCCCCCGCATCCCCGACAGAGGTCCTAGAAAAGTCCCTGATGTCTTCAAATCCTAGAAACTTCCCTCGCTCACTCAATAGGGCTCAAAAGGGCATGTGACTTCGCAATGGATTGTGTGTAACCAGCGCCATTTTTACAGGCAAATTGTTTTGTTTACATTGCGCTGTGCCGGGAGAGAGACGTGAAGCGAGAGATTTATATGGACCGGGCAAAGGAAAAGTGTGTCGGATGGTACCAAGACAAGCTGGACCCTGTTCTGAAGGCTCGGTACCTTGACAAAATCCAGAAAATAGGTGGAGTGGATCCGTATGAGCACGGAGACTGGACTCGGGATTTAAAAGCCCTGCCACCGTTGACTGAAGCTGAGCTTGTCCTCTATCTCGTCAACGGTATAAGCTATTATACCGGCGACAAATTTAGGAATGCCAAATCTTTAAGGACTCATGGGCAAGC